AACCTTTTCTAAAAAACCCTAAAAAATGTTTTCTAACTTAATTTCTTTTCTTAATTAATTTTGGTTTAATTTTCTTAATTTAATTAATTACTTCTTTTAGTTAATTAGGTTAAAACCAAGACCCTTTCCTCAAAAAAACAAACAAAAATTATTTTCTTTTCCATTTATATCCTTGTACATTATATTTATTTATTTCTTGTACATTATTTCAATATGGTTGTAATATATAATTAGGTTTAATTTCTTGCAATCCCCATTTATAAATTTGTATACCACATCCCCCTAATGATTGTAATAGCGTAGAATATTTACTTTCCGCAATTTATCGCTTTCATATAAATGCTAGTAAATAGGGTTTGTATGGGAAGATAAAATCAACAAGTAGATAACCCTAATCAAAGATTAAATGCATGCAAATCAAACACACTATTCACACACGCACCCCTTAGGGTAATCCCATTTATTGCCTATCCTAAAAATAGTCATGTCCCTCGAACATGGGCGTTTTAGCAAAGACCCTCGATAAAAGATCGTAGCCTCTCAATGACCCTCGATGTTGCCTTCGGTAAACGATCTAGTCCCTAAACGACATTGCTAAAACATCCCATAGGTTGCTTTCTATGACTATACAAAAACGTCTCACGCCCGTCCCTTCACATCCAATGATGGGACTTCTTACCAAAACAATGGTAAGATAGCAACATCTAAAGGGGAAGGAAAAGAACATCTAAGACCTTTTGAGTAGGTAGATTCGCTCCTAGTTGCTCGCTTTCTCACAACAAAAACATTTTATACACCAACACCTCTTTGAAACATTTTCAAAAAACAACACTATGTACGTGTTCTTATAGAAACGAGAGTCATTACAAAGAAGACACCTTTTTCAAAATCTCTTTCAAAAACACATTCCACAAACACCTCTTTGAGCTATTTTTGAAACAACACTTTGTACGTGTTCTTATAGAAACGAGAACCATTACAAAGACATTTTTTAAATACTTTCAAAACCCACACCACATTCAAACAAAAAGCAAGTGATCTAGAAAGAAACTAAGAGCCCATAGATAACTATGGATGAAAAGGGTGCTAATACCTTCCCTTTTCATAATCTACCCCCCGAACTCAAGAAATAATCTCAAAGGTCTTTCATGTTCTTTTCAGCCTTTCCTTTTGGATAAAAGAAAAGTCGATGGTGACTCTTGCTAACCGCAACATTTGCAATCAAACGCAAAACAACCAAGTCAGTTCTCCCACCACGTCACGGATACTCCCTGGTTGTTTCGGGGATATCACCCCCTGTGATGGTATCGACAATATTTGTGAGTACAAACTTCATCAGTAAATGTTTTAAATGATGACAAAACTAAAAAAAATTTGCACCTCTGAGTTTTGGATGGTATCTTTATGTCTTGTGGCACTTCTTTGTATTAGAAGTCTTAGGAATCATTAAAAAATATTTCAAAATCGATCCAACTCATTAAAAAACAATTTTCTGCATGATTTTTCACTGCATGTGTCAACACATCTATATTTCAGGTAAACACATGTAATGCATTTTTAAAGCATGTAGCTTCTATAAGTTTTAGGCCGAAACATGCATGATTCAGGTCGACACATACTGAAGCTTTTCTGAAAATTGTAGAAAATTTTATTTTATGTGTCGACACATCCATTTTCCAGGTCGAAACATTTGCTATCGTTTTAAAGCCTGTAGCTTCTGTAACTCTTCGGTCGACACATGGTGCTTTATAGGTTGACACATTCTGTTCAAAAATCACATATGTGTTGACACATATGATTCTTAGGTCGATACATACTATTTTAAGTTGGTCAATTTTTTAAATTCTTTTATTATGAATTTAACCCTTTTTGCCCTAAAAGTTCAAAAACTACAAATTCTCTTTAATGCATCATTCCAACTTGTTGAAAACCATAAAATTAGCTTATTTCTATCTTCATCTTCAACCTCCAATCTATGCATACACACTGACATTATATTGTAACATTGTTTCATTGGGGTGCCATCTAGACGAGGATTGCTAGTGTCCAATTGTATATTGGGTGGAGTTTTGTAGGGGTTTTCATCCAGAAAAAATCTCGGGTTTGTCCTTCAAGATCATTGATTGATTTGGGGGTTTTCGTGCAAGACGTTCGAGAGGTAATTGCGGTAAAGTGAACAACCTAGGAGTGTTTAAAATCTTTGCAAGGAATCTTGGAGTGTTTGAAATCTTTGCAAGGAAGTAACTTGGAGTACCAAATAGAATCGAAAAAGTCTTGTGTTGTAATAGTTTGAAATTGACGGTGCGCAAAATCTTTAGAGATAAAGAACGAAAAGGAGTAGCAAGATTCAGATAGTCATTAAAAAGAGTTACTTGCATAAACAACTGGTTAATCCTAAAACATATGTGCATAAACTCTTTAAACAACCGTGGACATAAACTTCACATCCAAATACTCTAAGTATGTTGAGATTTGGTGGATTTCTCGACCATACTTCTTCAAATGTCTTTACCCATGAGACACTCGAGGAACACCTATTTATAATATATGCTACTGTTCTGACAACCTTAATCTAAAACACATTCTTCAATTTAATATTCTTCAATTTCCAGAATTGTGAGCCTCTAAGCTAGGCCATATACTCTATAAAATAAGAGTTTATCATTCAAGTATGGTCATTGAACTCATCTCCCTTAAGAATGAGAAATTGACAACAACAAAAAATCATAATGTCACACTACTATATATAACTTATTTATTTTTGAAAAAATAATTTCTTAGCTGTACAATTAACATAGCAATCCATTACTTAAGAAAAACATCGTAATTGCCAAAATAATGGTTTTATATAATATACACAGTAAAAACAAAAAAACAAAAAATAATATACACATAGTAAGCCAAGTAGCATTTTGCTTATAGAATCTTATCCTACATATTTTTTCTGGCTTGTTTTTTTACCTCATATTTTAAATAAACATCTGTCACTTACCCTCTCCCTGCCTAAACGGTCACATTAAAACACGATTAAAATAGTAGTCCATGTTTATTGTATTCACACATTCAACATATTTTTCTTTCGATTTTTCGAGATTAAATTGATAAAATTTAAATGTTATTTTTAATTTATATTAGATTTAAATTGTATGTTGGTTTATTAATGCGTTTTTATTTTTAGTTCTTGATCTGCATTTTTTTTTATAAAAATACTCTTGAATATTAAATCTTTTTAGTTTTAATTCTTAAATACGCAGAAAAATTTATAGGTTTTCTATAGATTTTTTTGCAAATTTAAAATTTATTAGTTTCCTGTAAATTTTAATTTTAAGAATTATAATAAAAAATTAATATTTAAAAATTATTTTAAAAAAAATTTAAGATTAAAACTATGCAGAGATCAACATACTATTTAAGTCTTTATATTAAATAAAAACTGTTTAATTTGAAATTTTAACTATTTAATCTTAATTCAACGATAAAAAAATATCAAATTCGTGAATGTGTCTGATTGATATCCGTTGGAGAACAGTGATATGTCATTTTTACCTTTAAAAAGAAGTATTAGGGCGGTTTATTGTCTATTTATCTTTTATTTTTATATAAATTTTTATCAATAATTATATTGTTAACTGAGTCTTAATTGCTTCTAATTTATTTGATATAAAATCAGATTTTAATTTTAATTGACTTAGTTGCAATTTTAGTCTCTATATTTTTCTTTTCTTTTTTCGATTTTGGTCTATCCATTTTAAAATCTAGATATTTTGTCCATTTTTTAAGTTTTATTCAAGATTTTAATCTCACTCTCAATTTAAGATCAATTTTCAATGACATGGCATTGGACATTATGATGTTTCATTGCCACATTTACAAAATTTAAATCCAAATCATTTAAAATTATTAATTTTTTTAATTAATAATATAAATTATTCTTTTTAAATAAAAACAATATAAAGTTAGATGGTGCCTGAATTTGTTGAAAGTTTTGCATTTTGAAAGGGTGCTCATCCAGTCTGATTCTCTAATTGCAGTGGATTGCATAAATTATGTTTCTAGGATTTTTAATTTATTGTGATGGCTCAATCAACTAGAAGGAGCAATAGAATGATTGGAGACTACTTAGTTGAGAAGAAAATTGGAGCCAATTCGTATTAAATTTTTTGGCTTGCAAGACACAAAGTTCATGGAACTAAAGTGACTATAAATGAGAGTCTCATGTCTAAGATTTAAATCTTGAACCGAATCAATTAATCCTATTATTATATCCTTGCAAGAATTAGGTTTCATTATATTTTTTATTTTATTTTTTTTAGTTTAACTTTGCTTATTTGTTTGTTCATTCAGATTTCATAATGTATAACTGTAATCCTCTGATACATTTTTGTTATAGATTTTAATTCGTGGATTTTGTATTTTCATATTGGATTATATGTTTCAATTTTAATTTTGGGTTTGTTGAAAAGGATGAATTTTTTAATTTGGGTTTTATGATTTTCTGTTTTTTTTTTGGGTTTTGAGTTTTATGAGTTTATTTTTTTATTTAATTTAGTTTTGTTTTATTTAAATAAAATAATTTACATTATTAATAAAATAAATAACAATTTCAAATAATATGGGTTTAAATTTTGCAAATGTGGCAATGACATGACATCATGTGTAGTGCCATGTCATTAAAAATTGATATTAAATTGGGAGGGAGATTCAAATTTTGAATAAAACTTTAAAAAAGGACTAAAATTTTGGATTTTAAAATGAAGGGATTAAAACTAAAAAAAATAAAAGAAAAATAGTGGGATCAAAGTTGTAATTAAGTCTTTTAATTTTGTACTTGAAAATACTACTATATCATTATTATCTGACTAGTGTTGCATCAATGACTTATGATTTGTAACATAAACACAGAGAGAAATGCTCTCCCTTCTCTCTAGAAAACTTTCCCCAGTCCTCTAGCATTTGATGGCTTCTCCCCAACTTCATGTTGGCACTCTCCTTAAACCTCTATGGTGGTCACCTCCATCTCTTTTGAGAGCACTTTCCTCTCCACACATCTTCCTTTTCATGTCCTCACCATAACTAAGCTTCTCACCGGAATTTCCCTCTCTTCACCACTACCAACCATCAAGTTTTATTTTCTTCTTTTACGGCCGCTACCAGAGCCACCACCACCAAGAAATGACAAGTTCGTTATGAGTTTTATGCACATCTTAAACGAGACAACGATGGATCCATCTCTCTCCCTAGTAGATGCTCATACAACTCTGTTTTCCAAAATTTCTTGTCCACCATCGAAGCCACCATGGTTATACAGTATGAAAATTCTAACACAAATGTTTAATTTTAATTTCTTAATTTTTGTTTTGTGTTTTTGTGTTTTAGTGGTAAAAGATGCACTCTTGGTATTTGACAAAATGCCTCAAAAGAGTTATGTGTCTTGTAGCATGGTTATGTGTGTCTATTGGCATTTCATAGAGATTGAGGAAGTTTATTAGCTCAACATCCATTCTATAATTATCTCTAGTCATCTATTAACTTGTGAACACCCAAAAAGGTTGGAAAATTTTAAGATCAAAGAAAGTCGAAATATGCAAACACAAGTCAAAGAAACCATCCTTAATTGGATTTGGAAAAAGATTATGGATTATCACTCCCACATTGTCATTGATGATGTTTGCAAAAGAGTGAATTATTGGCTGATATGTTGTTGCTTTTGGTTTGGTTGTGGCTTAGATTTTGAAAATTCTATGTATAATGTCTCTTATGACTTTGTAGTGTTTTCTCTTAGAAGTGCTTTTAGACTATGTATGGAGTATGTTCCATTTCAATTACCCTGTAAAATCTGTAATCCTTGCTTGTTTGCATATTAATGAAGATGTTTTTTCTATAAAAAAAGAATTATGATTTGTTAATGGATTCCTTCCTTTGTCCAATGACAACTACATTATGGCTATTTATTGATCATGTCCCCTTGTCCGAGCAAAATCTTTATAACACTTACAATCTTTTCTTCTCGTCTATGCATGACCAACATGCCTATATTGCCACCAACCCCATATTTGTTTGTCTCCTAGTGTATGATACGAGTTGAGCCGAGTTAGCAAAACTAGTATGATCTCTTGCCTACAGAGTATTCTCCAATCTCCATATGTGATGGTTGGACACATGTCGGTAGCAACATGCTGGCACATAGTCCCGCAAGTGTGAGACCTGTATGAGTGAAGTTCTTTAAGTAATAAACTCTTACATTTCACTCATTTCGACTTTGTTTGAGGTTGCTTTGAATCTGCCATCATTTATGGGGTACTCTCCAAGATCTTTTCAAGACTCTGACTTAACAGGAAAATTTTGGGTAGAATAATTTTATTATAGATATTTATGTCCACAAGGGAGAGCTCTCTCAACTTTGTCAAAAGCTACATAGACTAAAACCATTGTTTATATCAATACACATTTTTCTTTATATAAGATGACAAAAACCATTTTACCATATAATACTTATTTCTATGCTAAACATAAAAGTTCATCCTTTCAATACAACACTTCCTCTTTAAAATATTTTGATCTCATTCATATGGATATATAATTCCTTTTCTCTACCTTACCTATGCTAAGTAATATATATTTTTATATTGTTGATGATAATAAGATTAAATATTTTTGAATTTTCTCGTGTAACTAAAATGTGAAACATCTAACATAATCAAATCTTTTTATATCTTACGTTGAAACTCAATTTCAAAATTGTGTCAAAGATATAAGATTTGATAATGGCCTTGAGTTTAAATTAATCTTTTTAGGCTCATGGAATACATCATTAAAACTTATGCATAGACACATCCAATCAAAATGACAAAACTAAAAGGAAGCATTAACACCTCTTAGGGTTAACCCCTGCCCTCCATTTTCAATCAAAACTTCCTAAACATTTTTTGACTTATGTACTATCTCATGATGTTTACATAATTAATAAATTACATTCTAAATCTCCTTTTATTTTAAATTTTCATACCAACCTTGATTACCATTGTCTAAAAGTTTTTGGTTTCTTAGTTTATTCCTCTTGTTCTAAAAGAAACTGTACTAAACTTGACTATAGATCTAGGAAATGCATTTATTTAGGTAATAAAAATTGTGTCAAAGAACACATTCTATATGACCTTCATAACAAACAATTATTTATATCTATGGATATCCACTTTTTAAAAAAAAATCTTCCCTTCACCCATATTGAATCCCAACCAAATAACATACCTCAACCAATATATCACTCTACTATAGACTTACCCTTTGACTATCTTGACATGAATCTTCCCATTCAACTTATCATACACGTAAATACCTCTTATGTTCCTGAAGGGAAATCACGATATAAACGCAGCGGAAAATAAAAAAGTTCCCTTAAGTTAATCCTTACAAATGAGCACGATCAGTGATAGAAAGAATTATCTCTTGTGGTGATTAAAACCTTTGATGCAAAATTGTATGAACGATCATGAGCGTTGAATGAAGAACAACGCCTATACTAATTCCACATGAACACAATTCCTTCAATCTCAGTGCTAGCTTATACGAATGAAGATATTAATAGAGATAGATAGATAGATAGGTATATAGATAGATAGATAGATAGATAGATAGATAGATAGATAGATAGATAGATAGATAGATAGATAGATAGATAGATAGATAGATAGATAGATAGATAGATAGATAGATAGATAGATAGAGAGAGAGAGAGAACGACTAGGTTCAAAACCGAATTTCATCAAATGAAAAAGCTTATGCACAAAGGTTCTATTTATAGAACCACTTGTGTGGGGATGTAAGCTGAAAAAGCCCACTTAAGTGAACTTTACCTTACCATGTACTGTATTTCACTTAAGTTTATGGTACCTTACGGTAATATGTATTCCACTTAAGTGTAGCATGCCTTACGGTGTTCTACAACTCATTTAAGCGCATCGTACCTGTGATACGGTGGGAGAACTGACTATGGTTTTGCGTTTGTTTTTGCAAATGTTTCGGTTGAGCAAGAGTCGCCACCGACTTTTTATTTTATCCTAAGGAAAGGTTTAAAAAGCACAGCAAAAAACCTTTGAGATTATTCTTGGGTTCAGGGAGTAGATTATAGAAAGGGAAGGTATTAGCACCCTTTCTATCCATGGTTATCCATGGGCTCTTAGTTACTTGCTTAGATCAACTTGCTTTAATTTTCAATTGTTTGAAATGGTGCTCTTGTGTGTGTGGGTTTGAAAATGTTTTGAAAAGAAGGCAATGTGGTGGCAACCTTTGTAATGATCCATGTTGGGATGTATACAAAGATGTATGTCTTTTGAAAAGGTTTTCATTTGTTTTTGAAAATTTGTTTTGAAAGTGTTGTGAGGTGTGGTTTTAGAAAATAGGCAAGTGCTTTGTTTTTGCAAGTTTGATTCAAGTAACTAAGAGGTTATCTACTCCTAAATTTCTCAAAGTTTATTGCTATGTTTTAACCCTTTTAATAAGTTTGTTCCACCATTGTATTTGGTGGACAATCTCATGTTAGGATGTGAAAGGGACGGGCGCGGGTCATCGTTTAGACCATAATTGCAATGGTGCTAAGTATCTTTGGGCAATTTTCTTTAAGGGACTTGATCACTTGTTTAGGCAACATTTTGAAAGCGTCATCGAGGGACTATGATCATTTGATTTGTTTGTTTTGCCCAAAGAGACCTAACATGCAATATGGCCCATTTATTTGAAGGCAACAAAGTGGAATACCCTAGGGGTGCAAGTGTGAGATGTGTTGTCCATTTTCATGCTTTGATTATCTTGAGATTATGTCAAACTATTTTGTTCTTTTTATTTGCATACAAACCCTAATTCTAGCATGGTGTATTTAGAAAGTGATAAAATGCGAAAAATAAAATTCCTACACTATTACAACACCATATGGGAAGAGGGGTACAAATGTTCAAATGGGGGGATATTTAGACAAAGAAATTAAACCTAGCTATTACATCATTTTGGGAATATTTACAAATAATTGATTGCATAAATTAAATGGGAAATAAAATAAAGATGCAAAATGCAAAAAAAAGGTTTTTATATGTATGAGAAAAAAAGTATTATTTATGTCAAATAAATAAAAATAAAAAAGTATTATTTTTGGAGTTTTTGTATTTTAAGGGTAAACCCTAATTCTATTAAATAAAATGCATTATTTATTTATTATGTACAAGTATTTATTTATTGTATAAAAATAAAATAAAATGAAGTATATTTGTCAAAAGATATTTTTATATTTAAATATTAATAAAAATAAAAAGTGTATGTATCTTTGCATTTTTATCCTAAATACATTAATAAATATATATATATATATATATATATATATATATATATATATATATATATATATATATATATATATATATATATATATATATATATATATATATATATATATATATATATATATATATATATATATATATATATATATATATATATATATATTATTTACTAAATAGGTATTATATATACAAATTAATAATATTTAACATTTAATAAAAAAAAGTATTTTTTCTATAAAATATTTTCAGAAAGTAAAACAAAAATAAAAATGAAAATGAAATGTGTTTATATTATTTTTTTGTATTTTAAGTAAAATGTATCTATCTCTTTATTTATGTACAAATACTAATTTAAGTAAATAAATTCCTAATAAATAGAAAAATGGTACAAAATTTTTTTTTTATTTTTTTTATATTATGATGAAAAATAAATAAGTCAAACAAAAAAGAAAAAGTAAAAAAAAATCATTAAAATGAATGAAATGGGCTTAGGGGGTGTAAAACCAAAAACATGGTGCAAATAAGAAATATGGAACAAGCCCAGCCCAATAGACCCTTCTTCAACCTCCAGCCAGAAAACGTTCAAAAAACGCGCGCTTTGCTTACTGATTCAAACATCCTGATTCCTGGCTTTTTAATGAAAACTCTCAACATAAAAAATGTTCAACATCAAGAGACGAATTCAGGGATATAAAGAACTTGTCTTAACTCTCTAACATGAGGGAGAATTTCCTCTCCCCCAATTTCTGACCTAGCTTTTTATCAATGTTCAGGTTCAAAATTCTTGCAGCACACATAATATAAATGAAATCTAATTATATGGGCGTTTTCAGGGCTATGATTGTGACATGTTTCCTTCACAAACCTAAAGCTAACAATGCCTAATAAGAGAGATACGAGTTCATGAACTTACCTGTTCAGTTGAAGTTCTATCTAGCAATGGAGAAGCTTTCAGTGCAAGGTGATGATTGGTATAGCTTCCTTGAGGTCCAGGGATGCTATTCCAAGCTTTACTTTGTCTTGAAAGCTTTTGAATCGTGCTAGAGCACTTCACCTGCAAATCAGAAAAGTGAAAATGGTGGAACTAGTTAGAGGAGTTACAGGTCGTGTTTTAGGTTTTGGTTAGCTTGCATAGATGATAGGGAAGGTGTGTGAACTGG